CCTGAGGCAGCAGCAGACATGGGAGGAAGTTCAAGTGGAGGAAGTACCATGGCAAGACAAGACCCTGCATGGAATGTACCATCAACAGATAGCTGAGGTGGCTGACATCGGGAAATCCTACCAGTGGCTGGAAAGGACTGGAAGAAAAGACAGTACTGAGGCACTGAACATAGTAGCACAAGAACAGGCACTAAGCACCAGATCCATAGAAGCTACTAAGTACACTAGACAGGACCCAAGGTGCAATCTGTCTCCCAGGCCTCTGGTAGAGGAACCCAAAATTGAGAAAGATACATACTATCCTTAGGGGTGAGAGGGGATTTTTTTTTTTCCTCAAAGGAATGCTTTACATCAGGAGAGGTTTAGTCTGAGCAGCTCTTCAAAGCTTCTGGACAAAGAGAGGTATGTGTGTGTGTGTGCGCACACACACACACACACACAGACAGAAGGAGAGAGAAATGGAGCTGAAGTCATTTCTTCAGACTAAGGAAGCTTTCTGATTCACATCAGTTTCATTTCAGTGCTCCTAAATGAAGAATCAGAAGCCTCCATGCACAAAGCACCATATCAAGGAGGAACATTATTTGTCTTTTTATTCTTTTCTTTTCTTTTTCTTTTTTTGCACCTTCAAGTCAGTGTAGACTCCTGGTGACTGCCTGGACTAGTCCATGCAGTTTTCTTGGCAAGGTTTTTCAAAAGTGGTTTGCCATTGCATTTTTCCTAGGGATGAGAGAGAGGGACTGGCCCAAGGTCACCCAGCTGGGTTTGTGCCTAAGGTGGGACTAGAAGTCACAGTCCCCAGCTTTTAGCCTGGTGCCTTAACCACTACACCAAACTGCCTCTCTTTTATCCATATCTACCTCTATCTTTCTATCATTTCCCTCTCCCTCTCTCTCTCCACACATACAAACACATATACACATACAAAGAAGATTTTTAACCTAGTATTGAAAACAGCACTCCACAATCTAACAATTAATACCAACCATATTGTTAGCTTCATATTTGCAATGCATTGCCATATTGCAGAATGTAAGACACTTAAAGGAAAGCTTGATAAGGCAAAGTTGGAACTCCACAAAACTTGAGACTGAAATTCTGAGGATGCAAAATTTTGCAGCTAATTCTTCATTGTGCATCGCTGCAAAATTGCATTAGCTGCATAACCAAGTAAAAACATTATAATCATTAGAATTTTAGACAAGCAGGCAATCATTTATTTCCTAAATCAAAAGCTTATCATAAAAAGGAAAATGTATTGTATAACAATTCAATATAAGGGAGTAAGAACAAGTCAAAATGCAGAGTACACAATCTTTTTTTTCCCCAGAACATCTGTTATATTTGAGGTGTTATTCAACTATGTTCCCAAGTTGACAAGAAGCCTCATCTGATGGTTGGCCCCATTTCTGTCCATGCAAATTTACTCTTGCAGATATCTATATCAAGGATGTGACTGGATTTGCCTCTATTAGGATTTAAAAAACAAAAGGGGGGAGGGGGGAAGGCTCTAATTTCGGTCATAAATGAAGTCCACAGTGATTTTGAAATGCGTACCAAAAATAAACTGCTAAAACTTCTATAGAGGCTAGAAAGAGGGGTATAAATACCTGTATAATGAACCTATATTGTAAGCAATTATTACACCAGTATTTAGTTAACCTGTAGGTATAAATATTATTACAGCTTCATCTCTTGTATTTTATTGCATATTAATTGTAAGGTGATCAACACAATGCTTAAATACTCATGAAGACTGAACTCACAACACTTATTTTGAAATATCATTTTCTCAGCTTTTCAGAGCTAGCAAACTATTTTCCTCAACACCTTTTCATATGAATGGCATTGAACGGATGGTTCTCTCCTCCTTCAAAACTGTGAGACCTCTCAAATGAAAAGGCACCTAGGTAGCACCAGCTTTATTGAAGAAAAAAATCTAAAATCCTACCCTATATCATTTATTTTTTGGTGGAAAAATAAGGCCTATTTGTTTGGCTCAGATGAGTGATCTTCTGCAAAAAAAATAAAATTCAATATGCTTATTTTCACTCAGTAGGGATTCTTCAGCAGGACTTGCTTATTCTAAAATAGTGAGTTAAATCTGTTTCAATTGTGGTGCTATCAAAACATAATGTATTGTGTTTACTATATATTATAGTCTGCTTGACAATCTCTCTGTCTTTGCAGTTCTGGACAGCAAAGAGAACAAACGAAATAAAAATCAAATTCCGTAGCAAGCTACCATAATATTCTGTGCTTGATTTGGCTCACAATAGAACATAAGATGGTTCTATTCATTTCCTCAAGATTAGTGTGTTAGTAGCTCTGAGTAATTGCTGATAGCAATAAAGGACCAGAACAGTGAGATCTCATATAGTCACTACAGCCTCATTTTTAAACATGAGAAAGCATCGTCCCAGTCAATATTAATTGTATGCAGTTTTAAGCATCCCAAATATTTTAACATTATCACAGAGTAAAAAGATAAAACAATGGAGAAACTGTCAACGTAAAACTCAGTAAGCTCCTTTAATACACATTAAGCACATAAATATGTCGTTCCCTCTGCTGCTATCATTATTTGAGCTAAAGCTGAGAAACCAACAAATTTTCCTGATTTTCTTTGCTTTTGTAGAATTATGTTTCTATTCCATTACAGAGCAGGATTGAGATGGTTAATGGTGTACTGATGATCCACAGTGTTAATCAATCCGACGCTGGAATGTATCAGTGCGTAGCAGAGAACAAGCATGGAGCCATCTACGCTGGCGCTGAACTGAAGATTTTAGGTTTGTATTTAAGGCTGTTATTCTTTTCCCATTCATTTGCTAAGAATACACTGTTGACCCAGAGCCTCAAAAGAATGAACTGAAGGTGTCCATCCTGTTGCAAACATCCATCTGCAGTTCTTTATAGGAAAAAAAGGTCATGAGAATGTTATAAACAAATAAACCATCAGAAAACCGAGGCAATACTCTGAGCTGAATTATATTTCTGATGTATGAATGGGGATAAAATTGTTGTTGTTATTATTATTATATCACACTTAAAAACTAAGTGTGGAACAGAAATAAATATCCATTAAAGAGTTGCTATGAGTAGGATAGCCAATAAATTTGATTTATAGATAAACTTAAATAAATAAATTTGAATGCATGAAAATATAGAGTAGGTAGCTGTATTGAAAACACAGAGCTATCTTGTTGTTCTTATCTCAACAAATCCAACATATTTCAGACTTACATTAATCAAAACTGTTAAACAGAACTAAGATTTATACAGATTTAGATATATATGTAATTAAACAAACCATTCTCATTGGTACATAGAAATTATGTATTAAACTGCAAGCATGCTCAAGTTTTCAGAATTATGTTAGCTATGAAGTACTACAATTGGAATAGAAGTTATTAGTTCCTTTAATCCTGTCATTCTTGACCAGTCTTTCAGTTCTTTCTTTCACTCATAAATAATGCAGTTATAGCATATAAGGATATTTAATAGGTAAGATACGGTTGGTAAAATGAATGGATCTCAGTCCATACTTTCAGATTTATATATTATATACTTTTAATGGCTATATGATTTTGCAATATAAAAACATTTCATAAGGGAGAGTCAATCAACCAACTAAGGTGATGTGTCGTCTTTGAAAATATTTCTTGACATAGTGGGCTTAGTTGGCTCCTTTGAGATTTATTTCTTTCCTCGATAGCTTCTGCTCCAACTTTTCCCTTGAGTCAACTGAAGAAGACCATTATTATTACCAAAGGCCAAGAAGTCACTGTGGAATGCAAACCACAAGCATCTCCCAAACCAACCATTGGATGGAAGAAAGGAGAAAAAACTGTGCGAGAAAACAAAAGGTCAGATGTCCATTCATTAATGTGTACCTTTGACTTCATCAGGGCCTGCAAGAAAGAGATAAAACACAAGGACATTTGATCAGCAAGCTTTGGCTTTTAATATTTTATATTAAAAATGGAACTGGTGCCTCACCATTTTGATAATGAATCTTCATATATATTGTTCATGATTAGCAACAGCCCTGATTTAAAAGGAGTGCATGATAAACTGTACATAATTTAAATGCTTTACTTTTTTAGAGGAAGAATCTTCTTCTCAAAGGATGAATCCAAACTCTGAATTCCAAACAATCAATACGGACATTTCATTCTAGCAAATATTGACAGCAGTCCTTATTTCTGTGTTTATGTAACGGGCCCTAAACAGGTTTTGGACCTACTTGTCCACTCCCTTCCCCTTTCTCCTACATCTCTTACTCTTCCCACTTCACATTATGACACTATTTGTCTCCACAGTTTTTAATTCATCTTTCTTTGCCAAGAATAGCTCCCTAGCATTTTCATATTGTCTGTATTCTCCTTATAGCAGTCAGCATAAAGGCCCAAACCCACCTTGTCTAGCTTGTTTTTTATATTTATAATTTTTATTAAAGATTTTCACATAAGTAAAAAATAAACATGAAATGATACAAAGTAAGATCAAGAAAAGGAAAAGAGGATAAGGTGCAAAAAGTGGTACATATATAAAAAAAGATATATGAAGAAGCAACTTCTGATCTCCTTTACAACAAACTTATTGTCTCTCCTCCCTATTTAAAATTACACATGATTTCCTTCTTCCCATATTCAACCCTTTTTAATCAGCAAATCCATAAATCACCAGTTCATTTTTTTCCATATACAGCAAAAAGTCCATAAGAGGTTTCCAGTCTTTTATAAAAACATTTGTTGTCTTATCCCTGATCAAACAGGTCAATTTTGCCACTTCCCCAAAGTCCACCATCTTCACTATCCTCCATTGTGGGTACTTCAGTATTTTTCCATCTTTGTGCGTATAATAGCCTTGTTCCTCCTTGTCTAACTTGTTGATCTGCACCTCTGGATCCCTTCTACACCCCCCTTCAGTTTGGGTACCTTCCAAATTTTGGGACTTCAACTCCTGAATTTTCAATAATGTCTTTGTGAGTTTGGGAATTCTGGGAGATGAAGCCCACACAACTGGATAGCACCCAGGTTAAGGAAGGTAGCTGTATAACAATCTTCCTCAATCTGGTGTCTTCCAGGAGTGCTGGAGTGGATCACATTAGTATGATCACATTAAGGAAAACTTTTCTAGTATTATATTTCATTTATTTCACCATCAGGAATTTTAAGAATTCCCTGGGAAAACAATCTACTAATCAGAATGGACTAATCTGGAGTCAAGCAAATATAGGCAAATATGTAGAGTTGAGACTAAATGTTAATAGGAAACTTGAAACTGGGCCTCAGATGTGTGAGGTTGT